GGAACAAGGATTTTTGCTGGTTGAGATAAGGATAGCTATACAGGGAGTTGACTCACATTAATTTCCTGTGCATGTGTGTTACCTTCTAGGTTAATTCTTCTTGATCTAACCTTTTCTCTACTTCCTGGTCCCCTTTTCCTATTGGCCTCAGTTGCTTTTAAGGTATCTGCTTTAGTTTCTCTGCATGAAGGGCAACAAATGCTAGCTAATTTTTTAGGTGTCTTACCTATCCTCACCCCTCCCTTGTGTGCTCTCGCTTTTATCATGTGCTCAAAGTCCAATCCCATTGTTGTGTTTGCCCTTGATCTAATGTCCACATATGAGGGAGAACATACGATTTTTGGTCTTTTGGGCCAGACTAACCTCACTCAGAATGATGTTCTCCAATTCCATCCATTTACCAGCGAATGATAACATTTCGTTCTTCTTCATGGCTGCATAAAATTCCATTGTGTATAGATACCACATTTTCTTGATCCATTCATCAGTGGTGGGGCATCTTGGCTGTTTCCATAGCTTGGCTATTGTGAATAGTGCTGCAATAGACATGGGTGTGCAGGTGCCTCTGGAGTAACCTGTGTCACAGTCTTTTGGGTATATCCCCAAGAGTGGTATTGCTGGATCAAATGGCAGATCGATGTTTAGCTTTTTAAGTAGCCTCCAAATTTTTTTCCAGAGTGGTTGTACTAGTCTACATCCCCACCAACAGTGTAAGAGGGTTCCTTTTTCCCCGCATCCTCGCCAACACCTGTTGTTGGTGGTGTTCCTGATGATGGCTATTCTAACAGGAGTGAGGTGGAATCTTAGCGTGGTTTTAATTTTCATTTCCTTTATTGCTAGAGATGGTGAGCATTTTTTCATGTGTTTTTTGGCCATTTGAATTTCTTCTTTTGAGAAAGTTCTGTTTAGTTCACTTGCCCATTTCTTTATTGGTTCATTAGTTTTGGGAGAATTTAGTTTTTTAAGTTCCCTATATATTCTGGTTATCAGTCCTTTGTCTGATGTATAGCTGGCAAATATTTTCTCCCACTCTGTGGGTGCTCTCTTCAGTTTAGAGACCATTTCTTTTGATGAGCAGAAGCTTTTTAGTTTTATGAGGTCCCATTTATCTATGCTATCTCTTAGTTGCTGTGCTGCTGGGGTTTCATTGAGAAAGTTCTTACCTATACCTACTAACTCCAGAGTATTTCCTACACTTTCCTGTATCAACTTTAGAGTTTGGGGTATGATATTAAGATCCTTGATCCATTTTGAGTTAATATTGGTATAGGGTGATACACATGGATCTAGTTTCAGTTTTTTGCAGACTGCTAACCAGTTTTCCCAGCAGTTTTTGTTGAAGAGGCTGCTATTTCTCCATAGTATATTTTTAGCTCCTTTGTCAAAGACGAGTTGGTTATAGTTGTGTGGCTTCATATCTGGGTCCTCTATTCTGTTCCACTGGTCTTCATGTCTGTTTTTGTGCCAGTACCATGCTGTTTTTATTGCTACTGCTTTGTAATGTAGTTTGAAGTCAGGTATTGTGATACCTCCTGCATTGTTCTTTTGACTGAGTATTGCCTTGGCTATTCGTGGCCTCTTGTGTTTCCATATAAATTTCACAGTACATTTTTCAATCTCTTTAATGAATGTCATTGGAATTTTGATGGGAATTGCATTAAACATGTAGATTACTTTGGGGAGTATCGACATTTTTACTATGTTGATTCTACCAATCCATGAGCATGGGAGATCTCTCCACTTTCTATAGTCTTCCTCAATCTCTTTCTTCAGAAGTGTATAGTTTTCCTTGTAGAGGTCATTCACATCTTTTGTTAGGTTTACCCTAGGTATTTGATTTTGTTTGAGGCTATTGTAAATGGAATTGTTTTCATACATTCTTTTTCAGTTTGCTCATTGTTAGTGTATAGAAATGCTAACGATTTTTCTATGTTGATTTTATATCCTGCTACCTTCCTGTAGGTATTGATGATGTCTAGAAGCTTCTGAGTAGAGTTTTTTGGGTCTTTAAGGTTTAGGATCATGTCGTCTGCAAATAGGGATATTTTGACAGTTTCTTTACCTATTTGTATTCCTTTTATTCCTTCTTCTTGCCTAATTGCTCTAGCTAGGAATTCCAGTACTATGTTGAATAGGAGTGGAGATAGTGGGCATCCTTGTCTAGTTCCTGATTTTAGAGGGAATGGTTTCAGTTTTTCTCCATTAAGTATAATGCTGGCTGTAGGTTTGTCGTATATAACTTTTATAATGTTGATGTACTTTCCTTCTATTACTAGTTTTCTTAGGGCTTTTATCATGAAATGGTGCTGGATCTTATCAAAGGCTTTTTCTGCATCTATTGAGATGATCAAGTGGTTTTTGTCTTTGCTTCTGTTAATGTGGTTTATTACGTTTATTGATTTTCATATGTTGAACCACCCCTGCATTCCTGGGATGAAGCCTACTTGGTCATGATGAATGATCTTTTTGATGTGTTGTTGAATTCTGTTTGCCATTATTTTGTTGAGGATTTTTGCGTCAATATTCATTAAGGAGATTGGCCTATAGTTCTCCTTTTTGGAGGTATCTTTGCCTGGTTTAGGGATAAGTGTAATACTGGCTTCATAAAATGTGTTTGGCAGTTTTCCTTCCCTTTCTATTTCATGGAACAGTTTAAGGAGGGTTGGTACCAGTTCTTCTTTAAAGGTCTGATAGAATTCAGCAGAGAATCCATTGGGTCCTGGACTTTTCTTTTTGGGGAGACTCTTGATTGCTGCTTCAATTTCATTTTGTGTTATAGGTCTATTCAGGTGATTAACTTCCTCTTGGTTCCGTTTTGGATGATCATATGTATCTAGAAATCTGTCCATTTCTTTAAGATTTTCAAATTTATTTGAATATAGGTTCTCGAAGTAGTCTCTGATGATTTCCTGGACTTCCATGGTGTTTGTTGTTATCTATGCTTTTGCATTCCTGATTCTACTAATTTGGGTTTTTTCTCTCCTCATTTTAGTCAGGTTTGCCAGGGGTCTATCCATCTTGTTTATTTTTTCAAAGAACCAGCTTTCTTTGACTATTCTGATCTTGTACTTTCATACGAACTTCAGAAACAGCTTGTGATTTCTTCAATAAAGGTGCTTTGGATTTTGATAGGTGTTCAAATGAATTTGCAGACCAATCTGGTGAACGTTGCAATTTTAACAATATTATATCTGTCATTCCATTTACATGGGATACCTTGCATTCACTTAGGTCTTCAATTTTTTCAATTTTATAGTTTTCAGTTCACCAGACTTGTATTTCTTTTGATAAATTTATTCTTAAGTATCTTGTTATTTTGAAATCAGTATAAGTGGAAGTATTTCTATAATTTCCTTTTGGGATTATTCATTACTGTGTTTAGGAACACAAGTGATTTTTATATGTTGGTCTTTGATCTTCCATCCTGAACTCACTTATTCTTTAAACAAGTTTTATTATTTGTGGATTCCTTAAGATCTTCTACATGTAAATACATGACTTCTATAAATAGAGATAGTTTTATGTCTTTCCTGTCTGGATATCTTTTATTCCTCTTACCTAACTGTTCTTACTCCAGCCTCCAATATAATGTAAAGCAGAAATGGTGACAGTGAACATCTTTGACTTGTCATCAGGAGCAATGATCTTTATTTTACTTTTAAGTATGTTCCTAGCTATGAGAGTTTTCATGGGTACTATTATCAGATTGAAGATTTTTCTTTTAATTCCTAGCTGTTGAGTGTTTGACCATGAAAAATTTTGTACATTTGTTGCATGCTTATTCTGTGTCTATTGAGATTATCATGTGGATTTTGTTCTTTATTCTCTTACTATGGGTAATTTTTTTTTTGGCGGTGCTAGGGTTTGAACTCAGAGTTTCATGCTTGCTAGGCAGGTGCTCTATCACTTGAGCCATTCTGCCAGTCCAACACTGGTAAATTACATTGATGGATTTTTATAAGTTAAGCCAAAATTTAGTTTGGGGAAAAATCCCACTCATTCATGGTGTATAATTTTACATGTTGCTGAATTCAATTAACTACTATTTTGTTAAGGATTTTTGCATGTGTTTTCATAAGGACATTGGTCTATAATTTTCTTCATAGTATCTATCAAGCTAGACAAGTTCCCCTTTTTTTCATTTAAATCCTAGGCAATAGTTTGAGCATGCATAATTAATTGCCTGCATTTTTGTACCTATGAATATTTTCTTCCACACTGCAGTATCTACTTCTTTCCCACTTGCTTACTGAGGACTACAACTCTGCCTTATTGCTCACCCGTGCTGGCATCTGATGTGATCCCAGAGTGGATAAAACGGGTATGTACTGTTATCTGTGACCAGGACATTCTCCTACACCACCTCCCCTGTGGTGATCTTACTGATCCCATCGCTGACCAGCTACCAAAGTCCTACTGCTCCAGGAAGCCCTCCTCACATCCTACCTTCTCCGTGACTGTCCTCATGGAGGGCCTCTCTGTCCACTCAGTTCTTAGAGCCCTTCTCTTAGAACCGTGCAGCAAGGCATGCAAGTCATACACTTGCTATAGCTCTAGCTGCATGTTTTGTTGTCTTCTCTTCTCTGAACCTTGTGACTCACACCTCATTTCATCAGAAGTACCTAATAACTACCTGCCTTTAGTTCAAACTTAAACATTTGTTATTTTCATATTTTCTTAATTCATCCTTGATATAATACACAGGAATTCCACAAAACATATAAAATCATCATATTTACAATGCTGCTGCCTAAGTTCACCAAATGTGAATAAGCAGTTGTGAATTTTAATATATGCTAAGTATTTCTAGCTAGTCAACACCTATGGAAAGATTTAAAGATTAATGTAAAATGGATTTTTTCACTGAAAGCATATTACGTCATTTTAGCATGTGACACAATGAGAATTAGAACCTAGTAAGAATAAATTATGTCATTTGTAGTTACTTAAGAAATACTGCAAGGTAAAACTATGCTCTTTCCCTGAATAAGTTTAGGTACCTGGTGTCAGCAGTATGACCGAGGTGACGATCAGGGAGCAGATGACCAGAATGACCAGCAGGGCGATCGCAATTCCTTTCCAATTTCTCTGTGGAGGATTACTCCCCACAAGCTCCTAAAAACCACAAAAGAGAGAACCCACATAAGTAAAGTAAGAAATAAAACAAGCCTCATAAATATTGTCAATTAAACCAAGGTCAAAGATGCAGAATAGTGGAAGAAGTGTCCCCACCCCTGAATCTGCCACCAGTTTCTTTCTGTGCCCTTCCTCCTGCAGTGTCCCAAAGACCTGGGCTGTCCCTTCTCATGCTAAGGTAAGACTTTGCCTCCACAAAGAATCCGTCATGTAACTTGATGTTACAGCACAGAGTGATCTTGGAATTTTCTCTTCTTTATAGTCAACCTATTTACCGCACAGAATCAAACCAAAGTATGAAATCTTCCAGCCCAAATCTTCTCTCAACTTTTCCTTTCTTTACATCCACTCTATTAACCTTGGTTTGAGGCTACTACGTTTAAATATCTAGCTAGCACACACTATGGGTCCACTTTAATTAACTTTTCTCCATTTCTCAGCAGCATGAGCCAGCTCTTCCTTCTCTAGCTCTTCACGCATGATTCCAAGATCCCTCGGTCTCTCCTCACTGGGCAGCTCTTCCATCCCTATTCGTGGTTTTGGTCCCCTCCATGGAACTGTATGAGCATTACAGCAAGGGCAGAGGGTGGGAGGGGAATTCTGAAGACTTTACGCTAAAGATGAAAAAATCCAGGAACTCGATCAGGCTTATGGGCTGCTGAGATAAAACTTTTAGTTCCCTTCAAATCAAAGGGACCACAGAATTTATAGTCCTAACTGAGCTTTTTTGGGAGACAAGAAGAGGAAAATTAATTACTAACACTAAAAATAATGAATATAACAGTTATAAACTAATGACAATTACTATTAATTAATACAGAAACAAAGATTTATTCTCATAGTGCATATGGATACTTCTGCTATTCATGAGTCCGAGGATAAGTCTCCTACAGTATCTATGATTACAACTTACATTTAAAAAGTCAAAATGTAAGCAGAATATAGTCTCCAAAGTAGATAATGTAATAAAAAATACATTTGCATCAATGATGGAACATTCATCCGGAGGTATCAAATTGTTACAGATCAAAGTAAAGGCAGTAACTAATCATGGCCCCTCCTTTGTCCAAAGACACCCATAACAGGTCAGGGCTGAACTTCAGCACTGATAATGATATATGGTGTGTGTCTAGAAAGATGAGCAGAAGATGAAGATGTTTGCAAAGTGAGGTTGAAGGAGTGTTCGGCCTCAGGTACCAAAGCCCAGAGTGTTCATCTATTGAAGATCCATCATATGGAAGAGGGAGAAGACTTACTCTGTGCAGCTTCAGAAAAGGCAGTTTCTGAAAGGAAATTTCAAGAGGTAGAATAGCATATCAATAGAACATTGGACCATTAACCTTGCCCAACAATAGAATGGGCGCTTCATGGGAAGCAAACAGGATAGATGAACACCTAACAGGAGTCCCGGAGGGCTCATTCTTCAGGGAGGAAGGTGAAAATGGATGGCCTTGAAATCACTAACACAGCATAAGTCCTACAGACACACAAGGGTAGAGAAGAGAAATGGACAACTGTAAAAGTTACTACTGGAGACGAAAAATGAGAATCAGGACTCTTCCTGAAGGACAAAGAGTCTGATTCCTCCATAACCCAGGAGAAGATTCTACCCTGAAAATCAATTCAGGATGTATTACTGAACGAAAGAATGCACAATAAGATAACTAAACAGGCACCAGTGACATATCCCACTTAGGTGAAGTGAGTCTGAATCATATATACCATTTCTTGAGTACAGCTGCATTCCATGGGCTTTCAGATAGCAGTCTGCAAGTGAAAAGTAGGGATTTTTATCCACCAGAATGATGGCATTCTTTGCTAAGTCTATTTTCATTTGCCAAGTTTCATTTTCAGAGCAGAAGTAATTTTCTTCCACTACACAAACAACATTATAACAATAATAATGGGAAACAAATTGAAGAGGAAAAATGATAAACAATCTTGCTAATGCAAGAAATAAAAGATTCACCTTCTCATATTCCTTTGTATTCCTGTCTATGTGCACCTTGAATTTTTATACAGATGTAGCCAGAGCACATATATACATTTATGTGTACAGAGTTTTAAGTTATACTGAAGATTAATATTTGCTTTTTTGAACATCTTCTATTCATTCATCCATCCATCATGCATCCACCCACTTGTCCATCCATCCCTCCCATATTTATCTAGGGCTCACTCTCCCAGGCCCTATTCTGTGAACCCTGAATACAGCAGTGAAAAACACAGACAATGACACTGTTGTTAACCTAAGTTGAGTGGCTTTCATTCTTTCCATATTCCTCTCTTTGAAGTACAAATAATAAGCAGATAAACCCACTAGTTGAAAGCCGGTTGAGGTCAGAGATACAAACCGTTTGCCTATAGTCGTTCAGAGAGAGTTCCTATCGAAGTGATATTGAAACAGAACTAAAAGAATCACACAGGGCTGACAATAGAAGATAATCCAGTCTGTGAGATAGCTTCAGTGTGGAGAATAGCGAGAAGCCAGTGGCCAGAGAGGTAAGGTGACCAAGCTGAGAGAGGCTGTAGTGAGAGTGAGGGGCCAGGGAGTGCGGGGTCTGTCAACTGCACGTAGGCTTCAGCTCACCTGGTAGGAAGAGATTTGAGAACAATAGTGTGTGACTCTGATTCCTATCCCAAAATATCACGAGGGGAGCTGTGTGGAGAACAACTAGGGAAGCCAGGTGGGGACAAGAAGGAGAGGCTGATGGAGATTGTCCCAGCCAGCAGTGGTGCAGTTGGTGAGTACTTGAATTCCAGGTATGTTACAGGAAAACGTTAGTCAACAGTGTGACTCCAATGAGATGAGACAAACAGACCTGGCATCAGCTGGCATCTGTGTTTAAACCCTTCTGTGAGGCTCTTGCCTTCTGGTTGCAAGAAAAAGGTTCTGTGCACATATTTCTTAGCAACCTACCCTCCTTTCTCCCTCCAAGCCAAATCTGCACCTGTCCCATACTTTGCTCCTGTCTTACCGCTTCCAGAGCAAGTCACTCCCTCATGACCCCTCTGCTTGACAGCATCACAGCTCCGCAAAGACTCTTTCTACTCCTGGAAATCCCCTTCATTTTCATAGCTCCAGGAGAACCCTTTGCATTCTTTAATTATTGCTGAAATACTTCCTCAGACATTTTCAGAAGCCTTGCCTAGTTTCACAGGCATTATTCTTTCATTTGGGCACAGCTATAACACTCTGACCATGTTTTTCTGTAACATTATTGCATTATTAAATTGCATTTAACACTTGTGTCACTTCTGGATTATGAACTAGTTAGGACTCAGTTACCTTGCTGTGACTAAGATTCCAATGTCAGTACACTTAGGACACCATAGTGCACCAGAACTGTGTTGAATGGATGAATGGCTCCATAAAAAGCAATTTTTATTTGCTGGTAAGTCTGGCAGAAAAGCAACTGATGCAGAACACAAAGGGCTAATGCAAACCCAGTTTCATTAACAGTGCCATAAGTAGCAATGGATCCTAAACGATGTAATGCAAAGTGACATGCAGCATTGGCAGTCCCTGTCCCATGTGACATCACTACTGCTCAGGCAAAAAGATAACAAACCATGAAATAACACCAAACTGTTCCTTTTCCTAACTTGTTTGATTGTCCTAAATATAAAATTCAATTTACAGAATGTTATCATCCTAGTAATTTCTAATTACAGCTTGATATTTTATGTACCACTAATATCTCTGAAATGGAAGAAGTACAGATCAAAATAATAATTAAAGACACCACAGGGTGCTATGAACTGATTCAAGAATGGTTCCATCCCATGATGGCTAGCTCTCTCCCAAGGTCACACCTGTGGAACCCAGGCAGATAGTGCATCTGCACCCTCTTCTCTGTGAAAGCCCGACCCCCCTCTCTTGGCCTTAGATTCTTCTCTCTCATGTATTTCCCTTTATCATTCTTTGTTCCTAATCGTGAGGAATATAGATTCAAATGAGGACTCTAAAGTGGAGGTGATCTTGAAAACTCAGAGAAAGCCAAAGCTGCAGGGATGGCCAGTGGGTGGGTGGGGACATCAGAAGAGTCAACAGCTTAGTTATTAAAAGAATGAAAAACAAATGTATTCAAGACCATATGATGACTTATGAAAATCATAGAAACATCAAATAGTGCTTTACTATTTACTGCTACCATCACTAAATAATTTTTAACAATATTTGACACATGATCTAGAAAGAACTCAAAGATCCATTGCTTCCTGCACAGTATAAAGGAAGTGAAAGGTCTAGCATGTTCACATTGCTTCTGTCCATCTCCTGTTGCATGCTGAGCTCTAATGGGGGAAGTCAGGAGTTTATCTTCTGTAGGGTCCTTGGAGATGGAGACACAGGTGTTAGTCATGAGTTCCGGTAAAGTGCATTTTTCAAGCAGTGTCTCAGATATACATAAATTGCATGTTCATTTCACGTGGTGCAAATACAGCCTCTCACAGTTAAATGGAGGAGCACCATCGGCAGACATGAGAGGGGAGGATCTCATGGTGAATGAATGTACCACTGCAGTAGAAGATGTGGGTGGAAGGAAAAGTCAGCACAGGAGTCACCAATGGACAGCAGGGATGGCAGTGAGGACACAGCAAGGCCTTGCCAATGACCACAGGACAGCTTGTGGCTCCACACTTTATTTCCCATAGCTGAAAGCAGAGAGGTCAACCAGATGGCCCTCTCAGTAGGGAAGGAGGAAGTGCATTAAACACCTTTTCTTACAATAATCCATCTTTCAATCAAGCCACCTCCCTTTCATCAGGCAGCTTTCTGAAACATGTGAGGGCTTTAAGACATTCTGGCTCCCCAAGTGGAAAAGGGGCCATTTCTAAGATACGGCAAGATCCAAGTTTTGGCAGTTGTGAGTTTTAAGACATTTCAGCAATGTGCATACATCAGAGCTGGCTGGGAGAGAAGACATAGCCCATATGGCTGGTGGGGCAGAGTTGGACTCTGGTCCAATAAAGCACGC